TAAAGAACAGATTTCTCTCGTTTCCTGCTTGCTACCTTGAGAACTGGTAAAAGCGCAATTTGCTTTGATAAATTTTTCTACAAAAATTTCAATACCTTGTAGTAATATTCATATCTTAACCGGAGCTCTATAACCGTGCAATATAATATTTTATGATACTGCATTCTCGGTCCTTAAACAGAGATAGATAGGCAAGCCATAAATTAACAACTAACATGCATTTGATCCGATCTGATGCACAAACTCTACAAGAAGAAGATCCACATCAATAAATATAGAAAATTATGAGGTGTCAGAAAAATATGGAAATTCTAAAATTACTGACCAGGACTAATGATAACCGTTTATTTTACTAAGGATAAGGGGGAAAGGTTAATTTTGGAGGTAAATTGCTGGTCGGACACGAAGTTTCCGTGCCTGTTACTAATTTAAGCTCCTATTTGAACGACGACATTTTATTTTATGTTGATGGGCTTGGAGAGTGTCCGACCTTATTGGTGGGTGATGAAACCTCGTCACTTTCTCTGTATCTGTGGGAGCAATGTATGCGTGTATGTACTTTGTGGGGTGGCCAAGCTTTGTGTTAAATATGAGGGAACTATGCATATCATATGCATCCTCCCCTCCTATCTCTTCCTCGTCTCCATATTCATACATTGATGTCTCGACCGGCCACTCACTCCTAAATTATCCATACATCGACTGAAGGACATCGTCTCCTTCAGCAAGGACATATACTGTCCTCCATCCAAGAATCCTGGCAGACGGAGTTCCGGCGTCTACCAAGACGTATCTCCTCTCTCCACCACTGCCATCCTAAAGTCCCCCATAATTCTACAGTTTCCACAACCTCTAAATATATTTTGGTTTCTTGATACATAAATGTAAAATCCTCCGGCTACGTAAAATAAATTGATAACGAGTTGCTCTGTAAAAACTATAACTCTCGGGGGACGCGTATTACATTTCGGTGACTTATTTCGAGTGCTAAATTCCGATAAAACATTAACTTTCGTGTATCTCACATCATAAGTGGGGCTGCCGATCGCACATACGGCCTTACGCCTCCAAACTGTGTGGTGACCTTCCGGAACATTCATCCCAGTCCGTCCCGACTGCACTCACCTCTGACCTACCAAGCGCCCACCGGAAGACCAACGCCCACAGACGAAGTATACTGTGGGGAAGAAAAGTATGAGTGAGATTTGACGGGTGCATTGATATGGTGGTCGCGTAGTACAAAGGAGTACGTCTGGGGCTATACCAGGAAATGTTTCCTTCGATGAAGACCGGGGTCACCAAATTTTTGCACTATACCGTTATTTCTCATTCCTACATGTGGTGAACCAGAAGTTCGTTCTCAATACCTCTCACATGCTAAAGCGGAAGCCCAACCTCCAATCCCTCCTCCAATCAGCTGACTCCCAGAGAGCAGTACTGATTTAACACTGACTCCCAGAGAGCAGTACCTACTTGCCCAGTGCAAACATCTTCCCCATATCGTCAGGCCTGTCTCAGTGTAAGCCGCACAGATCGCATCATGAGCAGGAGTGACATCATCTCCGTATCCCAACTCCCTCCCAAGGTTCGGGGAGCCAGCGTTGGTGAGGTGGGTGCTTTGGTTCTATAGACGGGCCAAAGTTAAGCACTTATGACCCAACCAAGGTGCAAGGACGGGTGCCACCGGCAACCAAGAATTGCACTGGGAGAAGCTGGCTGCCCTACCAGTAGTCTAGTTTACTAGACATTACTATCGAGTGGATTAAGCAGGCATACCAATCTATGGTTGTCTTTGCATCCAAAGGGGCGTATATAAAATGTGCAAATAGTATGGTCAGGTGTGGATGGAGTGGCTACTTGGGTTAACTGGTCTGTTGCAAGGGGCAGCGATCCGGTGTAATGTTGCGAACTTGTGATGGGGATGCAGGAGACGAGGATAGGGGGTCCGCCCCGTTCTCTAACCATCATCTGTTAAATACCTGCAGATCCTGACTGCTCATTTACCACCACCATGAGTGAACCGTGGGGATGCCCTTGTTCCACGGGACTGTGCATGGTGGGGTAGTCGTATAGCAGTGAGGACATATGCAGGACTGCCATACTAGCACGTGTATTTGGGGAGCCGGCAATTAGACTTTAATGATCTACCGCCGCAGACTGGCTTTCGGGCCAGTCTACCCACCAAAGTACATACATACAAGGTTCGGGGACCGAACCTACTTTCGCAAGGGCATATACTGTGGGGAAGAAAAGTATGAGTGAGATTTGACGGGTGCATTGATATGGTGGTCGCGTAGTACAAAGGAGTACGTCTGGGGCTATACCGGGAAATGTTTCCTTCGATGGAGACCGGGGTCACCAAATTTTTGCACTATACCGTTATTTCTCATTCCTACAAATATCAAATTCTATTATAAATACACCACACCGTAGTAAATGTGTATTCAAACTAGATGAATACCTAATATCATGAAACACATTTTGTATGCTGGAGGAAGCCAGCACTTGGATTTCATGAAAGTGAAACTTGTTCTTACATTTAAGTCAGTCGGAGATTTAGGGGACTTACATTTGCATTTGGGGTCGGGCGATAATAGAATAAAATGGAAATAGAGCACAGTTTGGGAAGTTCTGAGAAATAAAGAATTCTGAAAGAAAGCCGATCCCCAGTGCATTGTGCACACACTTCGTGCGACTTAATCCACTCCAACCGTCAAGGTGAAAATGTGAAAATGTGAAGTCATGAAAATCACGTAACTTAAATGAAGTTACATTTTAAAAACAAATGTTTTTACTAGAACTTTTACTTGTTGAACTTCGAAGTGAAGCCAAATTTCTGTTATCTCTTCAGGTATCTTAGTATACTAACAAGATGTAGCCCAATGCTTAAACATGCCGAATGCTTAAACAAGCCAGATAGTTAACAGAATAACAAAATTCGAAATTCTCCTAATCTCAAAATAAGCGTGTTTCATTCATTTTGTTTCGTTCACGAATGTTGCACTCACAACAATAAAACATAAATAAAACTAGCACTTTACTTACAAGAAAACATGATGAATGTACTCTCATTCTCCACTAGAAGCATAGATTTATTCATTTCACACCCCTAAATTCGTCACGAGCACATATCAACGACTGGAATAAGAGCTTTCCTCATGAATAAGTAGATAAACTCTCCACATCCTCGCATGCACTTTATGGTCATGTTGTTGAATGGTGGTGGGTGCATCTTAAATGAAATCTCACCCTCCGTCCCATGACCAAGTGATAATTTCTCCATTTGTCCACTGGAAACGTGCCAAAGAAAGAGAAAGTAAATAAATCGAGTGGATAATTTTTACTCATGGTCAACTTTTGGCTAAAGAATAGTGACCCCATCAACTTATAGGTGACGTATTATAGGTCCATCCATTGACTGATTCAGCTATTAATGAGGGCAAATTGTCATGTCCAGATGAATGAATGCTTCAACATGTGAACATTTGTACATAGCATGACAAAACATGGCATTGTTTAAACAATCTGGTCGCTTATACTCGACAGGAGACAAAGTTTAATTGAGTAGGAAAATGTGTTAGAGGAACTGACCATAGAAGAATTTTAGTCAGAAAATCATAGAATTTAAGTCATACATACACACTTCTGCATTTACAAAATATATATCTGTTTTCCTTGCGGATATTTGTACGAGACAAAGCGCTGTGCACTTTAATTCCTGCTCACGCAACAAACAAAATAATCCAATTAGGATTAGAGAAAGAAATAAGGACGGGAAGAGTCGAGGCTGATTAGTTTACACTCATCTTCTTCTACATTGTGTGTGCTTTGTAAGTGTTTGAAGGGCAGGGAGAAAGCAAAGGGAATTAAGGAACCCTGCGGGTATTAAGTAAGAGAAATCCAAACCAGCCATCCGTCAATTACGTACAAATCCTGTGTACTGGAATTTCTGCATTTTCTGATCCTCCTTACTCTTGATGCAGTGGTGGCATGAAAGGCTAAAGAAATGAACAACACAAACTTCTCAAAATGTATGAATGAAAAATTTAATAGGGAAAAAATTTATATGAAGAAAGTTTCCGCTGCTGTAAATATTTTAAACCAAAACTAAATAATTTACTAACATTTTTTTGTGTAAAAAGTTATGATACGCAAATAGGTCAACCCACTAATGAACATACGTGACACTTTTGGCTTTAAGGCTTTAATTCAACCTTCAGGTTATATATGTAGAGCATACTTTCTTCCAAGCTTTATAAATAGATATACTGCAACTTTTCTTCTAAATAAAATGTAAAAGTTTTTATGTAGTTTCATAAAACTTTTCACTTTTTCAACTTACCTCCCTAGTTGTATTTGCCAAGTCTATTTTATGGGGGAGGAAGGTTAAGGGATGCAATGATCTCAATCTGGTTATTTAACAATATTATTAATATACTATATCGAAATATCTATCTTATTAATTCATTCCCAAACTAATCAATAAAATTTAAAAATAGTGTGCTGCAAAATTTTGCTAAACCCAACACTTTCCTATCTTTGTTCATCTTCTGTAAAACTGAGCAAAGAAACCAACCCCGTCGCTGCATCCATCGCTGTAATTTCGTTATACAGGATTTACAGGCAGAACTTTGTACGAGACTGGTGAAGAAAGCTCACCCCGACTTTTCCCCACGCCATGTGCTCCGTGATGCGCTGACTACGCCGGCCTCTCGTTACCCCACATGACATGATAGGAGAGGGGAGAAACTAGAAAGTAGAGAAACTACGGTTTTAAGCTGTCCTTCTCCAGAAGAACGGCTCAGCCAGGACCAAACTTTTGAAAGGGAGTGAATCAGTGTGGTGCGAAATTTGTTAATCTTTGGAACATACGTTGTATTAATGCAGGGTCGTCGAATTCTGGGATTATGAAAAGGTTAAGGTGGCCAACTAAAATTTTAGATAATTAAAACAAATAAAAAGTTTAAAATATTGCATTAAATATAGATAAACGTGTACTATATGTTTATACGTTATATTTATTGTTTCCTTTTTTGAATTTTGACAAATTTAGTGCTAAATACATTATTCCATAAAACTTAATGATGCTTCAAGAAATAATTGACATTATGTCATATCAGCGAGGGGAGGGTACATGTTTAAAATGCATTTGTCCAAAAAAATTAATATGCAGTACAACTAGAATGCAGATTATTAGAAATACGAATTTAGTGTCCACCGACTGGACTATCCGTGAAGGGTAGTTCTGGTCGTGAGAGTTTAAAGTACGTCGTCGGGCTTGGCAGGGGTGACACATCTCTGAAGTAAAAAGAATTACAAAAATTAGGGTCTAGTAATACTTAATATTAGTTTTTGGGTTGACTTGATGTGTTTTAGATGTTTAAATGATTTAGTTTTGACACATGTAAAGAATGCGACTAACCTTTCATTTTCAGATTCATAGTAACAGTCAATGATGTCATCGATTGCCAATCCCCATTCGACGAGGAACGAGTTGCCGTTGTCCTGTAATTAGAAAGACCATAAAATTTATTATTTTGATCTAAATACGAACTATTTATGCAATTATGAATTTATAATAGAAACATGAACATGAAAACATAATTATATGAAAATTATATGCATGCATAACTACAAAAACTCGAGATGTGAATAGCGAGGTTAACCTTAGGAGCTTTTTAACCGTCTCAAACTGCCTAAATTATTGCTAAAGACGTAATTATTTGTAAAATTATATATTTAAACAATTATGCACGGTATTGTTAGTATGCCAGAATTAACATGCATGATTGCTCATAAAATTTTATAGCACAAAGTGTAATGATCAGGGATTTATCCTATGCACATTTATGGAAAGAACAGGATACGAGCATAATCCAATTTACGAGATTTGGCAGATTACTCAATTGTGGAAGTTTGCGTTTCGCTCCGTTATATTTAGAACCTTTAGTTAGTTTCGTTACAGGAATTACACTTGCCACCCTTAAGTCAATCTTCTAATTGTGTCACATTCACTAAGGTCACACAATCGTTCGTGGTCATTAAGCCGAGTACTTTACTTTACTGGTAACTAATAGGATAATGTTGTGTCACGGCATGTCCGGCTATTCACGAACTCATTATTTACTACAGACGCAGAGAAAGCGGATGAAATTAAATCCAGTTAATGCATCCCGTCCTGTTGGTGTGACCAATTTAGGTATTTTATATTGTTATTAATATTCACACGTTAAAATTATCCACTCCAATAGCTTTCTTTTGTGCAACCGTTCTTTGACACGTTAGCAGTGGACAACTAAAGAAATTATTGGTAAGGATTGAGAATATAGAGAGAACTTTTATTTGACCATAATGACCATGCAAAGTTTGGTTTAAGGTTAATTATGCAATTAAGAAGGACAATTTAGTAAATTTTCTGTGCAAAAACTAGATATACAGAATCATTATATACTTCTTTTCACTTCAAAATCAAACGGAGTAATCCACCCTCTGTACATGAATATACCACTATTTTGCCCCTGAAATCACCCAGATGTATTAACAATTCTCGCACTCCTGTCTGCAAGACTTTACTGATATATTGTCATCCCTTTGTAGAGAATTTAGTATTCAATTCGAATAAGATGAGACATTTAAATAAATTGTGGTGACATTTATGAATGAATTATGCCACCTTGGGAGGCCATATGAAAATGGACATTTCATGTTTCTTCTGCCGGAATTCTTTGACACGGGGAAGATCGTCAAGTTGACAGTTATTTATGTGGAGGGCAAATCCCTCCGGGTCCTGCACTCCATCTTACCACTTCTTTTAAGTGGGAGTGACAACTGACGGCGACGAAGAAGAGGAAACGAATGCATCTGGTGAGACTAAGCTCAAACAGGTAAAAAAGGTAATGGTGGTTGAATTTTCTAAGATTTTAGATCTTGGAAAGAGAACGAAAGGTTGTACAGAATGTAGGAAATGTTGTTGGACACAAATGTCACGTTTACAGCTCAACCGTGACTTTGGTGGTGGGAGAAAGTGAGTAAGTAGAGGGTAAGAAAGTACACTCGAGAGACGACCCACCAACTTTTACCCTCTGCTCTCGAGTTCCATCATCAATAAAATCACGCGTCTCAACTTTCCCCCGAAGTTAGACTATGACAACTTTCCCTGTTTGTAGCCCATGCAAAAAAAGTACCAAATTAACCTGAAAGAAAGCGAACAAAAATTTCTATTTAAAGACGAGCAAGGCCCTGACAATTACAAATTACAATGTAAAACAATTTTGTCATAAATAAATGGGGTCACCAACTCTTAACTTATTTGTCTGATACTCATTTCCTTAGTTCGTAGGTGGGAGCTCGTGAGAGTAAACAACTCCCAAGATGGACATTTTCTCGGAACAAATCTGAATTTAATTTGGATCCTCAAACAGCAAGTCAAATCGGTCCTGCGAGTGTTGTTGGCTGATCATCAGCAAGTTTGTGCTACGAGAAACCAATCCATGTTTTTGAATCATTCTACTCTACCTATGTCTCATCTCGGTACCCAAAAATGTACGGAAACGTAGGCCCGCATCATAATGGGGTTGGGAATATCTTCCGATTTCTGCCCAGTAGCTATTATCAAGGCGCACATACGTACTAACCCTCTCATCAAATCCTATCACATACACGCCAGAACGGAATTAACTCGAGTCTTCTACCCACAGAAGAAAGCAATCATTTCTTCGTGGGTTCCAATCCACGCGAGATTAAGCCATCCAACTTACAGGCATTAAACACATGACAGTAGTAAAACCAGCAGCACAAAAATTTCTTCCCCCTAAGCATGTAATTTCCACCGACAAAGTGAAAGTAACGCGAGGTTTCATCACCCACCAGAAAAGAAAGACGGACATTCTGCAACCCCATCAACATAAGGTAAACTGTCGTCGTTCGTCCATGTCTAAAAAATTAAATGAGGACCAGGCACGGAATTTCGTGTCCGAGTTGCCATTTAAAACCTCAAATTATGGAGCTTTCTCTCCTCGTAAGGAAAACGGTGATGATTGTTTGGGTCAGTAATTTAGAAATTCTTGTCCCATTTTTTTAAGAATTACGTACATACGTTTTATTTTGGTAGGGAAAATGCATCCAGGATTTACAGAAGTTCTCAGCAGAGTAAATATAATGTCCTGGTTTGACTAAACATGTATCTTGGGGGAGCCGGGCCTTGATTCTTTCGTGTAAAAGTTAGGGTTTAGCTGTTGCTCTGTCACATGAATAATTCAGAACTCCACTGTATAAATTTCTCTTATTCGGTAATGATAGGCGGACGGGGAAAAAAGTTTCAGCTATAATTGAATTCATATTTAAATGGGACTGTAAAGAGAAACCACTCGAAAATATGGATTGCGTACTCTTAAGATTACTACTTTTGTTGCGAAATACGGTCAAGGGGGCTGGATGGGGTGTGAGCTCCTTATGCAGCTTGAGTTTTTAGATATTTTGGCATTTTCTGAAGGTACAAGTCATAATATTACAGTACAAGTCACAATATTAGACTTAACCCAAAATTAGATGATGAGACTCTCTTACTCTTTCTATGATTGTTCCACGTCACGAAACGAGGGAAGTCTGTGCATGACACGGATCACCGAAAATACCAGACAAGTTTGTGGTGTAGTCCGTGTTCATTTTGGGGTTGGAAATCACCCTGGATCTAACACCAGTAAAACGAGGAATTGTTGGAAACGTATATAAGAAATGCGATACAAAAAGTGTCAAATGTCACAAATGCAAAATTACACTTATCGCCTGGAGAAAGTTATTTTTCCTGTGGCAGAGGCCCGGCTAAATAATGGAGAACCCAACAAATTGTGACATCTGCAAATACCACCCGAGTGCCGCTTTCAATGAGTGGACCCCAACCCCTGGAGACGTTAGTCCTGCCTATCACTCTCACGAGCAGAATCTGCCATGCACCATTATATTCCCCAAAATCTTTCTCTACGAGAGAAAATAAAACCGTTTTCCACTTTCTTCCACAATTCTGTCTCCGACTTCAGCTTCAGTTTCTGTAATGAGGTTCCCAATCACATTGTAATTTATGCGTCGAATGCAAATTAGCAAGGCAGGAAAATTACCCAATCTGTCTCCAACCAAGCCACCCAAGAATAATAAAAAGAAGGGAATTTCTTTACCCCAATTAATCGAGGTCTGGGGAGGAGGCTCTGCTTCCACCATCACCGCATTTTCTCTTAAAACTGTTAATTTTCTAAATCCACTAGAAAAACAGATTGCAGAATGCATGCCTCGTTTGGTAAATAGTTAATCAGACGGATTCTTCCAATTTTGTTCATTCCTCGAAGTTTATAAGAAGCTTACTCTTTTAAGCTAGACCACAAATCAATGCCAATCTGGTCTGTGTCTTCGTAACTATTTAAATAATTGGTAGCAGTGGTGTACCAGAATATTTAGATGGAAAGAGTTTGTCTACATTTCAATAGCTTTATAGGAACTACGTAAATGGTATAGTATTTATGAGCAAGTTTTCAATTTATCATATCGATTTGTCACAAGTAATTTAATTATTTTTTACTAATTAACTCAGAAATAATGAAATTCTACAGAGCACTGAAAAATAGTTGTCTTTGAGGTGTTGCTTTGCCGGTAGCTTTTCACGCAACAAACAATTCTTTTCATTGGTTTCTCTCAATTTTTCAACCCTTTCACTTTTAAATGAAAGGGTTGAAACAACAAGAAGGCATGATGCGTTTTCGAATTCTCGGAAAATAAGTGAAATTAAAACTTTTTCCCCCTAGGTTCACTTACGCGTATTGGTGAAAGCAACCTATTCCTTTGTCAACTAGAATATAATTTTTTCGCTGAAAAATCTCTTTAATTGCGACTTCACTCGTCTCAAGTTGAGATTCTCAACTCGGAATGCCCTCTCTCGCGTTGGCCCAATCTCAGCAAATTTTTTAGCACAAAAATATGCTCATAGAACACAAAATTATTCTAAATAGCAAGTTGTACTATCGAAAATGTTCTCCCCGAAAATAAAAAAATTCAGGTATCAAAAAATATCTAAAAAAAATATCTCTCATTACCCCAATTGCTAACAACACATCGTCGCAAAGCCGTACACTCGTCGTCGTATTTACCTTATGGATTTCGTCGCGACGCCTAAAAAACTTTGTCCTTCCTATTCAACTAACTTTCCCCAACTTTCGCCATTTTCCAGACTTTCGCCAAGAGTTGGTCGAACTCGGAATGCAGCCAGCCGCCATTTTGTTTAGTACTTCGCAAACTAACTTTCCCTTGGCGTATAACAAAGCCAAAGTTATGTAGTTATAGTTAGTTGGAGGTTGGAGAAAGTTGGTTGGTGGAAATTTTGGACGTGGGGGTTGAACTTTGTTCACAAACATTTCGGGAAAGTATTCGTAATGTAAAAGTTTGTTATGTATTAAAGTCTAATGAATCAGCAAGATGATAAAGTTCACAACTAACTGTAGCACACTGAACTTAAGAATTTT